ACAATTTGGAGAATCATCTGAAAATCGTGTTGACTGTTTGGTCTTGGGGGCTCTTTGTGCAGCCCTGAGAACGGGTGGAGGAGAGGACACAACTCTGGAGTGGTCATCTCTGGATGGTGGCATCATGGACATTTTTTTCTATGTCATTTCTGTAGTCCTCAAACTGTCCGTTCGAAAACACTTATGACTTTTGTATTTTATTTTAAAATTTATTTAGAGAAAATTCATGTTTCGTAATATTAAAACTACATCTGCATATTATTGAGCACTTAGACACCACATGTGAAATTTGGTGATTAGAAAGGCCTGTAATGGGCTAGGTTTCTCCTCTTTTTTCTAACAACTTTGTCTTCTTTTCAAAACAAGACCTGTTTTCTGTCCTGATTCGTACTGGTCCCATCTGCCAAGTAGAGAGAATGTTCATCCTAGGGGTTCTCAGGGTGGCTTACTGGGCTTGGAAATCTCTTTTTCCCTACGCGGTACAGAAATGAAATATTACCCACTGTGGTGAAAATACTCAGTTCCTCTTCCATTGTATATATATATATCCATGTCTTCCTTATTGGTTCATCTGAGGGTGGTTACTTGAGCTGCTTCCAAGTCTTGGCTATTGTGGATAACATGACAATGAACATAGGGTTGTGTATATCTTTTCAAGTTAGTGTTTCTGGTTTTTTTTGAATACTAGGTGTGAAATAGATGGATCATAGGGTATTTCTGTTTTTAATTTTTTGAGAAACCTCCATATTATTTTCCATAGTGACTGCCCCAGTTGGCGTTCCCTCCAGCAGTGTATGAGTGTTCCCTTTTCTCCACATGCTCTCCAACACGTGCTATGTCTTGTATTTTAATAAGAGCCATTCTGATGGTTGTGAGGTGATATCACCTGGTATTTTTTTCGGCCAGGAAAGATTTGCCCTGACTTAACATCTGTTGCCTATCTTTCACCTTTTTTTTTTCTCCCCAAAGCCCCACTGCATGGTTGTATACCCTTGATGTAAGTCATTCTAGTTCTTCTATGTGAGCCACCACAATAACATGGCAACTGACAGGAGTGGTATGGTTCCATGACCCATAAAAGAACCTGGGCTGCCAAAGCAGTGAGCACTGAACTTGAACCACTAGGCCATCAGGGCTGGTTCTCACAGTAGCTTTGATTTGCATTTCCCTAACAATTAGTGATGTTGAACATCTTTTCAGGCGTCTGTTGGCCATCTGTTTATCTTCTTTGGAAAAATGTCTGCTCACAATCTCTGCCTATTTTTTGATCAGGTTTTTCATCTTTTTGTTGTTGAGTTGTGTGAGTTCTTTATATATTTTGGAAATTAGCCCCTTACTTGATATATGATTTGTAAATATGTTCTCCCAGTGGGTGGATTGTCTTTTCATTTTGTTGATGGTTTCCTTTGCTATGCAGACGTTTTTAGTTTGATGTAGTCCCATTTGTTTATTTTTGCTTTTGCTTCCCTTGCTTGAGGAGACATAGTGTTCAAAATCACACTGCTGAGATTGACGTGAAAGAATGTACCACCTCTCTTTTCTTCGAGAAGCTTTATGGTTTCAGATCTTACATTTGAGTTATTAATGCATCAGAATTATTTTTTGTGTACAGTGTAAGATAATGGCTTACTTTCATTCTTTTGCGTGTGGATGCCCAGTTTTCCCAACACCATTTAGTGAAGAGACTTTCCTTTCTCCATCGTATGTTCTTGGATCCTTTGTCAAAGATTAGCTGTCCCTAGATGAGTGGTTTTATTTCTGGGCTCTCAATTCTGTTCAATTTATCTGTGAGTCTGTTTTTCTGCCAGTACCATGCTTTTTTGATTACAACAGCTTTGTAGTGTATTTTGAATTCAGAAAGTGTGATACCTTTAGCTTTGTTCTTTTTTCTCAGGATTGTTTTGTCTTTTGTTCTTCTATAGAAATTTTAGGATTCTTTGTTCAATTTCCATGAAAAATCTCATTCGGGTTTTGATTGGGATTGCATTTAATCTGTAGATTGATTTAGGTAACATGGACAGTTTAAGCAGGTTAATTCTTCCAATACAGGAGCACAGAATATCTTTCCTTTTCTTTGTGTCTTCTTTGATCTCTTTCAACACTGTCTTATAGTTTTCGGTGCACAGGTCTTTCACTTCCTTGGTTAAATTTAATCCTAGGTATTTTATTCTTTTTGTTGCGATTGTAAATGGAATTGTATTCTTGATTTCTCTTTCTGCTAGTTCACTGTTAGGGTATAGAAATACAACTGATTTTTATATGTTGACTCTGTGTCCTTCAGCTGTACTGTTTTCATTTACTATTTTTAATAGTTTTTTGGTGGATTCTTTGGGTTTCCTATATATAAAATCACATCATCCACACATAGTGACCATTTGACTTATTCCTTTCCGGTTTTGACATCGTGTATTTCCTTGTCTTGCCTAATTGCTTTGGCTAGGATTTCCAATACTACATTGAATAAGAGTAGGTATCCTTGTCTTCTTCCTGTTCTTGGGGGATAGCTTTCAGTTTTTAACCAACGAGTCTGATGTGATCTGCAGTTTTTCCTTATATGGTCTGTATTATGTTGAAATTTTTTTCCTTCTATATGCACTTTATTGAGAGTTTTTTTTACCATAAATGAATGCTGAATCTTGTCAAATGATTTCTCTGCATCTATTGAGGTTATCATGTGATTTTTATTCTTCATTTAGTTAATGTGGTGTAACACATTGATTGATTGGTGGATGTTGAACCACACTTGCTTTCCTGGAATAAATCCCACTTGCTTGTGATGTGTGATCCTTTTAATGTATTGTTGTATTCAATTTGCTAAGATTTTGTTGAGAATTTTTGTATCTATGCCTGTCAGCAATATTGGCCAGTAATCTTCTTTTTTTGTGTCATCCGTGTGTTTTGGTATCAGGGTAATATTGAGGTTGTAAAATGTGTTAGGAAGCATCCCCTGCTCTTCAATTGTTGGAAAAGTTTGAGAAGGATAGGTATTAATTCTTCTTTATTTGGTAGAATTCACTGGGGAAGTCTTCTGGTCCTGAGATTTTTTATTTTGGGAGGTTTTTGATTGTTCTTCCCATCTCCTTGCAACTGATTGGTCTATTCAGACTCTATTTCTTCTTGATTGAGTTTTGGAAGGTTGTATGATTCTGGGAATTTATCCATTTTTTTCCGGGTTAACCAAGTTGGTTGCAAAAAAACTTTCAAAAAAATCCCCTAAAAACAATCCGAATTCCCCGAAAACCCCTGGAAAGGCCCCCCCTTGAATTCCGAATTTAATTGGTTGAAAACAACCCTTTTAATTTTTAAGGAAACCAACCAAAAAGTTTGGAAACGAACAAAAAAGGGCCCCGTCTGCCCACCGCAATCCAGTGCCAATCAGTTGCAAACAAGTCGGTGGTTGAGAAAGGAAAATTTATACAATTAGCTAGCATAATTGGAAGATGGTGGATTAGTGTCCTAAAGAACCATCTTAAAAGTCGTACAGAATCTTGAGGCAGTTATATAGGAGAAATGGGCAGGGAAGGAGGGCATTTTGGGATGTCCATCATCTGGTGTGACGAACTTCAAGGAGCCTCATTATCTCTTTCTTTGTCGTTTGTGATGGGTACCAACACAGAGTTTTGCTTTCTGGAGGTCACCATGTTCCTGGGGGACTCAGAGAACAAAGTTATCCTTATCACAGGTGGGAGATATATGTAACCAAGAGTCATGGAACTAGCAGATCACGTATTTTGCAAAAGTGAGAGGTGCTTAATCACCTAGGCTAGGTGCAGGCTAGAGCACATTCTCAGAGACTAGTGATTACAGGATTACAGTTGCAATATTGCCTCCTTTCCCTAAGATGGCTTCCCTCATGCTAATGTAAGATCTAGCTGTTACAGTTTGTCAACTTTGTTTATCTTTTCAAAGAACCAGCTCTTAGTTTCATTGATCCTGTCTCTTTATTTTACTCCTATGACATTTATTTCCACTCTGAATTTCATGATTTCCCTCCTTCTACTGATTTTTGGCTTCATTTGTTCTTCTCTTTCCAGTTCTCATAGCTCTAATGTTAGACTTTATTTGAGATTTTTCTTGTTTTTAGAAGTAGATCTGTATTGCTATAAACTTTCCTCTTAGTACCACTTTTGCTGCATTCCATAGATTTTGTTATGTTGTGTTTCATTATCATTTGTCTTTAGGTATTTTTTAAAATTTCTCCTTTGAGTTCTTCATTGGTGCAGTAGTTATGCAGTATAATATTTGTGACTTCCAGATTTCCTCTTGTAGTTGATTTATAGTTTAATACACTTGTGATTGGGAAAGATGCTTGATGTGATTTCAATTTTAGTTTAAATAATCTATTATTTCATAGGAGATAGAATTCTATAAATTTCTTCTTTGATTTCAGGAAAGGTAATGTCATCAGAGAAATTACTTTCTCGTTTGGTACTGCTGGGTAAAGAATCATATTACCAAATGGTAAAAGTGGCTTTATTAAAAATGGAAAACTTTGTTTACATTCCTCAAGTGTATTTGTGTCGGCATATTTGCATTTCAGTTACTGAAGAGTTTCTTTCTTTCAGAAATACATTCCCAAATTGCTAACGATGTAGCCCTGGTGTTGGTGAGAACAAACGGGCCTTTCCTTTGATGCAATCTCTGAGCTGTTTCAACACAACTAAACACCTGGAAATGAAAAAAAGTCTTAATTCTCTGAATTCTCTTTCTAGTAATTTAGAAAAGTAGTTCGTTGACCAGTTGGGCCTGATCTCTTCTTTTTCAGCTCTTATTCTTTCCATTTTCCATCACTGCCTTTCAATGATTAGAGCCTTGGTGGAAAACAGATACTTGGGTCATTTTATCTGAGGAAAATTTATAAAATAAGGGATGTCACAAAACTTAAATTCAAGTACTTGACATGGAACCCAGAAAATCAAATTGCCAGTACAGAGTTTTTTCACTGCTAGTTACATCATGAAACTTACGGGAAGGCTGAGATTTTGTAAAGCTTTAACCAATGTGATCATACTGGATCAAGACATTTGGAAAAGGGACTAAGCTCATAGTAACTCCCTCTGGTAAGTAACTTTTTTCTATTTTTACCATAATAATTAAATACTGATAAATGCTTTTTAGAAAAAAACACTTTAGGATCACCCTTATCTGACTGCCACATACTTGGCCTCAGCATTTGAAAAACAAGTTTGCAGCTACTGGTCACTACATATGAAAACAAAGTTACTTGTTAAATGGTTTGTTCAATTCCCTGATTATAAACAGATTGAAATTCTACCGTTAGAACACACACACAAAAAATGATAGACTCAGACTAGAAATTAAGATATTTTGAGAACCATATCTGTAAACCATTGGTATAAGTTATCGGTCCCAGTTATTGGTCTTGCTGAAGACCATCTTTTAAGTGAGAGACAATTTTAACAATTACCTCTTTTCTATATTTTGTGATAAATATAGTGCTCCTTTCTCTCAGTAACCTGCAAAACCTGTATTATTCATTTTCATCTCATAACTAACAGCAATGCAAAAAGTGAATTCTTAAAAAATTATTAAAGAACATCAATAAATCTCACTTCTTATTACTCTAACTTCTTAGAGGTAGGCTGAGATCAGTCAAAATTTATGTTATCACATCTCTTGTATTGCCTAACAATGGGCCAATTTAAGGGAATTTGTAAGCTCAATAAGCCATTTCAGCTCCAAAGTCCATGAAAAGAGTCTGCATGGTTTTATATCCTCATTTGCTCATGTATCATGTGAACAGGCATTCGTTGAAGATGGTTTCTGTGCTGGATACTGAGGATAAAAGAGGGAACAAGACACACATAGAACAAGTCCCAACATTTTAAAAGCTTCTAGTCTAGTGGATAAGTGTTCTAACTCCATCCAGATCCTTGGAGGCAGTTCTCTGCCTGACCTAGCAAGGAGGACATTAACAAGGAGTTAACTAGCTAGAAGAATCCTGAGTCCCTAAGGGGTGGAGGCATTAGGTCCATTTGGTATTTCTGTATTGAAAGATTTGTAATGAATTTTAGATATTTTGTTTATTTGATTCCAAAAATAACCAATGGGAAAAAATAAACAAAAATTGCTAAACCTGTCATTTGGTGAGAGAATGATTAACATCAAGGATTAAAATATTTAACTGGGCAAACATATTCAAGAATGTCACGAGCTGGGTTTGTTTTTTTCTAAATTCAGCCCAGTAAATTTTTTCAATCCACATTAACCTTAAAGAAGAAATCTTGCCTGAATGAGGGAGAACAATTCACAGGGATGTTCCAAGCCTACTAGATCCATTGAAGTGAAAGCTTTCAAAGAATTCTCACAAAGTTGATAAAACATTGAAAAAATGAAAGAAATTATAATTTGGTTTCCGTAGTAATTGTGATGATATGAACAAAGATTTCATAAATTGAAAAGCAACGTTCTGGTCCTTTTTTCCCCAACCGACTACACATTCAATGTAAATTGTGGCAATCAAATTAAATAATTATGACACAGATATAATTCACCTGGGTCCTGCAAACTGTTTTTTAAGAGAGTGTGGTGCAGAGAAAAGTATAGACTTTGCTTTTGGGTCATTTTCTGTATAATCATCCTTTAGCAAATAAATTTTGATTCACTCATAATTGCTCTACTAAAATTATAAAAGTAATACTTGCCAATTATGAAAACAATTTCAGAATACAAAAACTAAAGAAAACATTAAAATTGTACATTAATTGGAATCTCCGTTAACATTTTGATATATTTCCATCCATTCATTCTATCTATGCAACAACCATCTGAAGTGGTTGTTGTGAGGATTAAATGAAGTTAAATATGGAAATTTCTAACACGGTCAGTAATAAAAATGTCAATTCTCCTAAATTCACATTACTACCATTGGAATTCTACATGAATTCAAGAGTAGAGATAAATGTCTTAGGAAAAGACTTTCAATTTCTAAGACTAATTGTTACCTGCTTCTAAAATGATTAGAATAAAATAAGCATTATCTTAAATATTATTAGCCTGAATATAAGGTGATAGCTCATTTTCCAGTAGAAATATCTGGATGTAAAAAAAAGAGCAAGTTTTGCAACTTGAATATATAAATTTGTAGTGATATAGATAAAAGTCAGATATCCACTTATAATATTTAATTTCTTAATTGGATTATAAATGCAAAGTTAAAAATTAGATCGGTACAAATATCATTTGAGAAATAGTGCTCCTTTTGCCCTCACATTTCATTAAAAATTGTGCTCAGACTGTTGAAATGCATCTGAAACATCTACCTTAGAGCAACTTTCTAGGTCATCTCAGGGGGTGAGAGTCTGTTTTGTGATCCCTGTACGATGATGTCACTGGATATTTTATCTAAAGAGACAGTTATCCATTTATAAAATAAAAGGAAGGCATTTTTTAAAAGTTATTCTTTTATTCTATAAATGTACAATGTAAGCAAAAACTGTAGAGCTTTATTCCCGAGTAATATTTACCAAATGCATGTTCAATTTCTTTAGATTCTTTCATGAGTGGTGGCTCCAAAACTAGCATTGGAGTTCATTTCTCATAGAGATCTTGCCCAAGTCATACATTTTGATCAGAGTAGAGTATTAAAAGAGCATCTTTCAAAATGAGAAGTTACACGAGGACTGAAACATAAGGTGACTCCTGTTTTCTGAGGGATATTTTGGGGAAAGAAAGCCTCACTTTCTCCTCTGGTACTTTCAGTCTGTTTGAATGCTGCGTGTTTTGTGTCTATGCCACAGAGCTAGGATTCGCAAACATATCCTCCCACCTCTCACGTGACATTTGAGTTAGACCTTATTAAACTATCAATCACTGGGGCAGAAAAAGAAATAAGCTATAATGCACAAACTATTTGGCATTTATTTCAATTGCCTATTTCCAAAATCTGTTTGAGAAGTCCTAGAGTCAAATACACAAGTACGGGGTTACCTCATTTTCTGGTGCTCCGCTTTATTGCTCTTTGCAGATACTGCATTTTTTAAGAAAGGAGGTTTGTGACAACCCTGCATCAAGCACCTGTTTTCCAACAACATTTACTCACTTCATTTCTCTGTGTCACATTTTGGAAATTCTGGGATATTTCAATATTTTCCTCTCTTATTATATTTATTATGGTGATCTGCGATCAGTGATTTTCGATGTTACTATTGCTTTGGGGCGCCATGAACCAGGCCCATATATGATGGTGAAGTTAATCAATCAATGTTGTGTGTGTTCTGACGGCTCCACCTACTGTTTCCCCATCTCTCTCCCTCTCCTTGCACCTTATTCCCTGAGACACAACAATATTGAACTTCATCCAATTAATAACCCTACAATGGCCTCTAAGTGTTCAAGTGAAGGGAAGAGCTGCATGACTCTCATTTTAAATTAAAGGCTAGAAATGAGTAAGCTTAGTGAGGAGGGCATATCAAAAGCCAAGATAGGGCAAAAGCTAGGCATCTTGTGCCAGTTAGCCAAGTTGTGACTGCAAAGGGAAAGTTCTTGAAGGAAATGAAAAGTGCTACTTGAGTGAACACAAAAATGAAAAGAAAGCAAAACAGTCTTCTGTTGATATGGAGGAACTTTTAGCATTCTGCATAGAGGATCAAACCAGCCTCAATGTTCCCTTAAGCCAAAGTCTGGTTCAGAGAAAGGCCCTGACTCTCTTCAATTCTATAAATACTGAGAGACTTAAGGAAGCTGCAGAAGAAAAGGTCGAAGTTAACAGAGGTTGATTTGTGAGGTTTTAGGAAAGAAGCCATCTGCATAACTTGAAGGGCAAGATGAAGCAGCAAGTGCTAATGTAGAAGCTGCAGCAAGTTATCTAGAAGATCTAGCTAAGATAATTCATGAAGGTGGCTGCACCAAACAATGGATTTTCAATGAAGATGAAACAGCCTTCTGTTGGAAGAAGATGCCATTTGGGGCTTTTATAGCTAAAGAAGAGAATTCAATGCCTGGCTTCAAAGCTTCAAAGGACAGGCTGACTCTGTTGTTAGGGGCTAATGCAGCTGATGACTTTACCTTGAGGCCAGTGTTCACTTACCATTATGAAAATCTTACAGCCCTTAAAAATTATGCTAAACCTACTCTGCCTGTGCTCTATAAATGAAGCAACAAAACCTGGGTGACAGCACATCTTTTTACAACATCTTTAAGCCCACTGTGGAGACCTACTCCTCAGAAAAGACGACTCCTTTCAAAATATTGCTGTTCATTGACAATGCACCTGGTCACCCAAGAGCTCTGCTGGAGATGTACAACGAGATTCATGTGTTTTCATGCCCGCTAACACAACATCCATTCTGCAGCCTATGGGTCAAGGAGTAATTTTCATTTTCAAGTCTTATTATTTATGAAATATATTTCATAAGGCTATAGCCGCCATAGTGATTTCTCTGATGGATCTGGGCAAAGTAAATTGAAAATCTTCTAGAAAGGATTAACCATTCTAGATGCCATTAAGCACATTTGTGATTCACTGAAAGTGGTCAAAATATCAACATTAACAGGAATTTGGAAGAGCTTGATTCCAACCTTCGTGGATGACTTTGAGGGGTTCAAGACTTCCATGGAAGAAGTAAATGTAGATGTTGTGGAAATAGCAAGAGAACTAGAATTAGAAGTGGAACCTGAAGATGTGACTGAATTGGTACAATCTCATGACACAGCTTTAATGGATGAGGTGTGGCTTCTTTGGGATGAGCAAAGAAACTGGTTTCTTGAGATGGAATCTCTTCCTGGTGAAGATGCTGTGAAGGTTGTTGAAAGGACAACAAAGGATTTAGAATGTTACATAAACTTAGTTGATAAAGCAGCAGCAGGGTCTGAGAGGATTGACTCTAATTTTGAAAAAAGTTCTACTGCAAGTAAAATGCTATCAAACAGCATCAGATGCGGAAGAGAAATTGTTTGTAAAAGCAAGCGTCAATCGATGTAGCAAACATCATTTTTGTCTTATTTTAAGAAAAGGCCAAAGCCATCGCAAACTGTAGCAACCACCACCTTAATCAATCAGCAGCCATCAAGATCGAGGCAAGACCCTACACCAGCAAAA